CGGTCGACTACATGAGAGTCCAGCGACATAGCCATTACGCTAACTGCTGGTTCCCAAGGGGGGGTCTTCTTGAACAAATCACAATACAATTACCCTATTCATAAAATAAGTTGGGAGGAATAGATGATTTCTGAAGGTCCTTTCATTTCTAAAAGTCTTTTATCAACCAGGAAACTCTCTCAATTTGGAATATACTCTTGACTTCCTTCGGCCATGAAGAGAAGATCTCACCAACTTCAGCCGTGGTGCACAAGTTTTCCTAAGCAAGGGCTATGTCTTGCATAAATGTTTATTCTTTAAGTAAGTCTCTTTGACATAATGAAAGCTCTAAAAATATATGGTAATACTATTAGCCTCCATACTATACTCATTTTTTTCTTGACCTCAGGAAACCTGTCCCAAGATATTTCTACAAAATTTAATTTGTCTACCCAAATAGTAATGGTTAATCTGGACTAAAACTAATTCGTGTGAAAACTAATTATAATAGCAAGACACAGGACACATGCTTTTAGTAAGCCGTTTTCATGTTCTTTCAGCATGAAAGAATGTGGTTCCCCTAAGCCACTGAACACCATTGTTCTTGTGTTCTGTTAAAGCTGGAAGACATCTTCCCTACTGGCTCTATTTTATCCATCTTTCTGGTTTTGCCTTTCCTTTGTTCTTCTGAGAAACATAGTATTGTTTGGGTAGCTTAATCAGCTTCAGAAGAAGCCAGAGTAAGTGTGCTAGTTAAAACGTTCAGTCAGCACATCTGTCCACATGATCCAAGCAAGAAACAAGAGGCTATGGCCGCCATCATAGCTTAAGGAGCGAGCAAACCAAATGGGTAGATCAACCAACCTAAGGAAGAAAACCAACAGGGAAACAAGATGAAATAGACACTAAGGAGAAAAAGTCATACTGCACGCAACTTACCAGTGACCAGAAACAGAGTAAAAAAAAATGGTGGGGGGAAATTAGAAAATGAAGAGCCATTTTAACCAGCCAGAACTACCCTAAGTAAGAAAAACCTAGTTTTGTAAGTTTGCGTGAAGGACATATATGTTGAAAAGGGTCAGTGACCTAAAGTTGACTCCTCAACTGCTGGGAAAGAATGAAGATACTGGCTGCAACAAAGCCACCAATTACAACAGTGGCAGTTTTCAATACAAAACTTAATGGACCAATGGGACTGGGGCTTGAATTAGCCCACCAGACCTGCACAAGGTCAAGCCTTCATTTGCATAAGCACACTTAATGGAAGACTTGGATAGAAATGATTTCTCTACAAAAGTCCCTTCACATTCCCCAAGGCAGTCTGTCTCGCAGTTGACTTCACCCACTATACAGCTTTCCTCTTCAACAAACCTCATGGTCAGATATTGGCTTTTCTGGTGGTAAGTAATAGAATCCCAGTTGGTACCTAAGTTGGTTCAGTGACACCGTCACTGCACTGAACTGATGCAAAGCACATTCTAATGGTTTCTCTATAATTTGTATTTATTTAATTTGGGGTTGAAACATGGAAAATATGACACATAGTTTACATTAATACAATTTCTAAAAACTTTCGATTTTCTAATAACCATATCATGCTTAATACATTGAAAATATTTACTAAAACCAAAACTATTTATTTAACCAGCATTATATATACTTTTGAAAATAATGTTAGGGAAGGAGATCAACTCTTAAAACAAATGCAGCAAATTATTCTGAGTAACAAGATACAAGGGGGAGAAAAGCATGTGAAGGCAATTGCAAATGTTTTCTGGGAATTTTAGTATAAAAAAACATGGGTTTGCTCATGGGTCCCTTTGATATGACTTACTGTGGCATAATGGACTTTAGTTTTGAAACACTTTGTGGTTTGACCATAAACAGTTATGTAAGTCAAATCAGAAATGTTCAAAAGAATCTATTGTTCAATTCCTACCTGTATGTAGAGACTCTAAATAATCCATGTGAATGGATGGAACATAATTTTTTTTTCTTTTGGTATACTATAATTTTTAAACTCATAGAAATGTTTATAATTATGGCTATGCAAAAAAAAAGACTTACTAATACTTTAAGTAAACTCCTTTTTATGTTACATACATATGAGTCTATTATATGGCAAACGTAAGAATGTAAGACACCATGACATAAAATAGACCTTAAATAATCAACTTTAAATATGTGTTATCTAAGTTACAGGCAATTGAAAGAATATAACTGATTCACTTTAGATATAGCCTCTTCCATGAACATCCCAGTTCCCCCTCTGGAAGTGCTATCTTCCTCCTCCAAGTTCCCTCAAAATTTTATTCTCATCTTCCCTCTCCATGTCCTCAGTATTGTGATTTGTATTACTAGAACTAATTTTGGATCGTTTATATTTTGGCTATATTGTAAACTCCTGGTGGGGAAAAGGTGCAATTTAATGCATTTGTAAACTCTGTCTACCCACATATTTCTTGCTATACTCATAATTACTTGATAAATGTTTTTGGTATGAATTCATACATTTTCCTTCCAGAAAGCTCAGGAGCTGGGGAACAATAGCATGTATAGACTTTTTTTTTTTTTTTCTGCTGATTTTCTCCCCACATGAAACATTCTAGTGATCCCCAAAATCCAGTGAAGATTCCTAGCAGAGCTGAGAAAAGGTACCAAATTTTCACTGAATGAGCTGAAGAGGAGCAGCTCTCTCTGACCCCTGGAAGCTTCTTACAATGCTCAGCTATGTCTGTGTATGACTTGTCACCAGAATACATTTTATCACCCCAAAAAAGCAAGTCTATTACTATGAAAAACATGGAAGACCACCATGACCAACTAACAAGAGGTGATGAGAAGTTAGGAATAAATCTCTGTGATGAAATACAACCATGGTTTCCACCTGTATCAAAGTCTGCTCTGCTTCAGAATAGAGACCCATGTTGATATCCAGATTAGACCTCAGTACAGCACAGGAGAGAGAGTGCTCACTCAACAGAGGATTGGAGCCTCCCTCCCAGTTCTTATCTCCTAATAGCTCATTCTTGGCCAAGGCTACATCACTTAAATATTGCTGGGCCTCAGAGTATTTTAAGTTCTTGAATCTTATAAATTGAAGAGGTTAAACTCAGTATGCTCTGAGGCTCAAACAAACTATAAAATTCTATCAGCAGGACTCATATATTTCTTAAGGCTCTTGGCTGAAATCTTGCCAGTATTTTGAAGACTGGTTTTGTTAATGCATGGTATCTGAGTCTGAAACATATGATAATAACAGCAACAGTAATGATTATGATCATAACAATAGCATTCATTTATTTGACAAATATTCATGAGACTCTCACCTGTGTCAGGCAATGATCTAGGCCATACAGACACGGCAAAGAACAAAACATACCTGGCTCCATGCAGTTTCCATTCTACAGCACATATTCTAGTCCAGGCAGACAACACTTAACAAATGCTGGGGTTTGAATGCATCTCCCCAAAAATGTATGTGTTGAGAGTTGGGATTGAGAGGATTAAAAACTTGATATTATTGGTTATGTTGGGAAGTGGGTCTTTGGAAGGAGATTAGTGACTGGGTGGTTAGGGAGGCACTCCCATGACTGAGTCCGTGGTTTATGAGAAGAGGAACCAGGCAAATGGAGAGCCATGTGGAAAAGAGACCACAGCCTCCTGCCCACTGCCATACTGTGACACAGCCAGAACCTCCACCAGATTATGTTGGAAAGTGGGTCTTTGGGAGGAGATTAGTGACTGGGTGACTGGGTGGTTAGGGAGGCACTCCCATGACTGAGTCCGTGGTTTATGAGAAGAGGAACCAGGCAAATGGAGAGCCATGTGGAAAAGAGACCACAGCCTCCTGCCCACTGCCATACTGTGACACAGCCAGAACCTCCACCAGAGAGGGCTGTGGACCTCAGACCTCCAAACCATGAGCCGAATAAGTCTCTATTTTTATAAATTACCCACTTTTAGGTATTTCCTACTATGAACCAGAGAATGGACTAGAGAACAGACTAGATACCTAGGTGACAGGGCTCTTGGAGTAAAAGAATCCAAGGATTGGTGATAAAGACTGTTGAAAGCCACCTCAGGTG